AGGCTGAGCTTCTCTCTTACTGTATTTTAATAACCCAGTATCATCAGGAAACAACATAAAACAATCTGGCCTTGGGGCCTTTGGGAAAGCAGGAATTAGAAAGCATTACTAAATATCTAAAATGTATACATGTTTGTTTTTTTATCCTCACCACAGGATATTATTCTCTTTATCTTCAGATAGAGAGGGAGGGAGAGAAAGGGAGAGAGACAAAGAGAAACATTCATGAAAGAGAGACACATCCACCGGTTGCCTCCCACACGACCTTGACCAGGACCAGGGATTGAAACCAGGGCTCTTTGGTCCACAGGCTGACGTTCTAACCACTGAACAACCGGCCTGGGCTACCCATTTGTATTTTTTGTTGTCTAAAGACAAACTTGCCCCAGCTGGGTAGTTCAGTTGGTTACAGTGTCATCCCGATACACCAAGGTTGTGGGTTCCATCCCTGGTCAGAGCACATGCAAGAATCAACCAATGAATGCATAAATAAGTGGAACAAATCAATGTTTTTCTCTCCCTTCCTCTTTCTCTCTCTAAAATCAGTAAGTATATAAAATTTAAAAAGAGATAAACTATAGTTTGTCACATAGTACATATGCACCACTCTAACCCTTTAATGGTATTTATCACATTCTTTTTAAAAAATGTTTTTATGGCCCTGGCCAGTTTTGCTCAATGGTTAGGGCGTCGGCCTGCGGTCCAGAGAGACCCGGGTTCGGTTCCCGCTAAGGGCCTGTACCTTGGTTGCAGTTTGTCCCCAGCCCTGGTTGGGTCGTGCGGGTGGCAACCACTCAATGTGTCCCTTTCACGTCGATGTTTCTCTCTCTCCCTCTCCCTCCCACTCTATCTGAACAAAAAATGGAAAAAATATCCTCAGGTGAGGATGAAAAAAATCAAAAAAGAAAAACATTTTATGATTTTTTAGAGAGAGGAAGATAGAGATAGAAACATCAATGAGAGAGAACATTGATTGGCCGCCTCCTGCATGCCCCTCACGGGATCGGGCCCACAACCTGGGCGTGTGCCCTGACTGGGAATTGAACCAGTGACTTCTTGCTGCATAAGTCAATGCTCAACCACTGAGCCACACCAGCCAGGTATTTATCACATTCTTTTTACCTTGTTTTGTAGACTTTTATACCTATCCTGTATCTTTGTTAGTGGTCTGAAGGTTACTTGAAGGAAAAAAAAAAGTGTTAAGATTTTTGTTTTATCCAGTCATGGCCTGAACTCTTTAAACAGTGCTAGATTAGGATGAGTTTTAGGATGTGGGATAACCCCAATATTATCATAGGGAAATATAAGACCTAGTTCTGGTCTTGCAATCAGGGGTGAGTGGTAGATAACTGCTTTGCTACAGCCAAGATACAATCTGTGTGAGAGCTGAAATTTTGTCTTTTTTAGTCAATTGCCAATGCTGTGGCTAGGGCCTAGTCTCCCTGAGTGTCAGGAGGGGTAAAAGTACCTAAAACATCAACTGGTATTCTAAAGCCAGTGTTATTGTTTGTTTTTGTTGCTGCAATCAACTTCTCAATTGGATAAAAAGATGATCCCTAAAACAAAACTCAAAATAACTTCCACATGGTTCAAAGTTTAGTATTCATTTTGAAATTTTTAAAAAACACAAAGATCAATATTATTATTGATTATGGTTATATCTGCAGTAAATATATAAAACAGACAAGATTTGAACCAAATTCATGATAGTGTCTGCCTCTGCAGAAGAAGGACACATTATTATATTGGGAAAGAAATTTATCATTTGTAATGCTCTTTTTAAAAATATAAATCTATATCTAAAACAAATATGCCAAAATGTTGACATTTGTTAATTTTAGATGAAGGTAAACAAATGTTTGTTATATATTTTATACTTTCCACTGTGTTTTAATTTTTAAAAATACAAAGAGAATTTAAAACACCATTATAGCTTATGACTTTATTTCAATGTTTTCAGAATTTAACATATCTAGGACATATGCATATGCAACACACAGGTACATAAAACATCTGAATAACACAATTAAGAAGCATGAGAATAGATAAAACTTTAAACTTTGTATTCCACAGAGAATATACATTCTGTTTTAATAGAAAGCTTGAATAAACCAATTACTATTGAAGAATTAAGAAAGCTGATTAAAGATCTACCATCAAAAGTGTCACTGGGCTTAGATTGTTTTACAACTTAGTACCAGCTAATTTTTAAAGAACAAATAATTCTAATGCTATATAAACTGTTTCAGACAACAGGAAAATATTGAAAACTCACCAATTAATTTTCTAAGCTAGCACAATTTTAATTTAAAAACGTGATAGACAGTGCAAAAGAGAAAACAAACACAATTTCACTTTGAAATGCAAATGCAGTAATTCTAAATAAAGTATTGGTAAATAAAATACAGCAATATATCATATGATTTTAGGATTTATTCCAGAAATACAAGTTTGGTTCCTACCATTCTAATTCAATATGTCAACAAAGTAAGGGGAAGAAAATCCTAAAATTTTATGAATAGATGCTGAAAAGACATTCGATAACATTCACGAGTCACTTTTAGTAATAATGCTATATAAAACAGGAACAGAAGAAAATCCCTAAACATGTTAGTAGTTAAAGACTATTTACCAATAACCAAAAGCAAATGCCATATTAATAGGGAATACTAAAGACAATTCCATAAAAATTAAGAACCAGATGGGCATGTCTGCCATGATCATTATTCAGCATTGTTTTGGAGAATCCAGCGAATGTAATAATAATCAGGATAAAGATTAGAAAAATAAAATTACTTCTATTAGCAGGTGAAATGATTGTATATCTAGAAAGACAAAAATAATTCTATTAAAAAAACCAGTGTAATTTATAGGATTTAGTAAGCTGATTAAATAGAATGTAAAAATAAAAAAGGTCCATAGTTTGTCTATATAGCAAAAATAACAGGCTATAAGTGAGCATGAGAAAATAACCCATTTAGAATGTCAATATGTGACAAAACCTGTAAAAATATTTAGAATTAAATTTTAATCTGATATGATGGACCTAGATGAAGAACATTACAAAAACAAAACCAAAAGATTTTAATGATGCACCCAGACTCTTGAATGTTGAGGATTAATATTATTAACATAATCCTCTAAATGTATATGAAAAAGGTAATACAATTCTAAGATATTCTTGTTTTAAATGTGGAAAGAATATCTTTAATTTTCATATGAAAAACTAAATGTCTAGGACAAGTTATATAATAGAAGAAGAAAAAATAAAACAACGAGAGGTAACTTGCTTTACCAGAGTCCAAAATTTAAGGTTAAGCCACTATAGTTAAGATAATGTGACCTGGCTCCGAAACTTGAAAATGGATGATTTATTTAATAAATGTGATCACATAATCAGTTATCCAATGTAAAAAAAATGTGTAGTTGGACATCTATCTTATACCATATACAAAAGAATTTCCAGTTGGATCAAACAGTGAAACCTTAACTTTTTAGAAAAAAAAATGCAGGTTTATATTTATATGACTTGGGGTTGGGCATTCATGTGAAAAAGACAGGAAACCAAAAAGCTAAAAAGGATCAAGTAGTCTATCTAAAAATTAAAACAGAAAAAAAAAAAAAACCCTACAAAGTAAAAGATACGATCAATAAAGTCAACATTAATGATAAGATGGTAAAAAATCTTAACACATATGGACTACAAATAATTAATATGTACCATATAGCAAATATAGTAAGAATTCTTACAAATTTATAAGAAAAAGATAAAAGATTCAATAGATAAATGAACATAGGATAAATATTAGCAAGTCACAAAAGAGAAAAGCCCCCAAAGCAAAACAAACAAACCCCCTAAAAACAAATGAACAAAAAACCCTCACTGAGTTTGCCAATTAAAGAACCAATGCAACAAATTTTCACTTATCACATTTGCAGAAATTCAAGATAGCTGGAGAGGATGCTGGAAAATGAGAACTTTCATTTTGGATGGTAATTTTGCAATACCTTGTAAAATTAAATATTAGCCTACCTAGCAATCCCATTTCTAGGAATCTACCCTATAGAAATAAAAGCATCAGTATGTATTGAGCAGTGATATGGTGAAACACTGAAAGGAAATAACTTAAATGACCATTAACAGAATGGTTGAATACCACTTTGGTACATAAATATGTACTGTGTATGCAGTTGTTGGAGGGAGGAAAAGATGGAAATGGAGAGAGAGAGAGAGAAAGAGAGAGAGAGAGAGAGAGAGAGAGAGAGAGAAGGAGGGAGGGAGAGAGAGAGAGAAAAGGGGTGAATGGGTGACTTATTTAATAAATGCGATGGCACAATCAAGTATCCAATGTGAACAAAATGTATAGTTAAATCTCTATTTTATACCATATACAAAAATAATTCCAGAGCAAGAGGGAAATGGATGTATTTAATAAATGCGATGGCCTGATCAGGTATCCAATGTGAACAAAATGTATAATTGGACCTGTATCTTAATATTATATACAAAAATAAATTCCAGAGGGAAAGGAGGGGAGGAAAGAAGGATAGAAAAAGGGAGAGGGAGAGATATTTGCAGCTACTGACCAGAAGGGATTTCGTGAATATGCCAAGTGAGAAAAGCAATGACAGGGAAATGATGTGGTTTGTCGTTTTTTACAGAAACAACTGCAACAAACTTTTTGTAAGAGGATGAAAAAAGTAAGATATGCATCATGTTCTTAACACTTGTTATCTGAGGAGAAGAAAGGGGGAAGGTAAGGGAAAAGGGGTGAAGGATATGGTGTGGGGTTACACCATTAATTTTTCTTTATCTAGTTTTTCATTGTTCCCGTGGTAATGAACACGTTTCAATTTTCTGTTAGCACCCAATTTAAAGTTTTCAATTACAGAACAAGGCAATCTCAAAGGTAAGAAAGTACTCGGGCAAAACTGTGGAACTAGTCAATGCATAAGATTTAGAGGCACAGTAAGTAATGGTAATAATAAAATCTGAATCTCTGACACCAAAACTGTTCTCAAAAGTTCACAATCACAGGAACACGACATATTTTCCATTTAATAGTTCCACAAATTTTGCAAAGAACTCAATGAATTTAGGGGGTTTTCACCAAACCATAGACATAAATGTGAATATCATCATCAAACTTAATGAAGTAGACAGATGGCTTAGCCACCACTTGATGGATGAAAATGCCGGTTCTCTTGGACCCATCATCTTTGGCGTGCTCCACCTGCTTGCCCACGAGGCTGTCGACCACTTCTCCGGGCTCCCGTTCCGCTGTAGGGAAATAGTAGTTGGAATCTGGAATGATGCGCAGGTCACCATCTTTGTAGTCATCCAGCAGCGTGTACATATAAAGGACCGGATCTTTCTCGTAGGTGATGTAAAACCAAGTGTCCATCACCGGGGCTCGGGCCAGGACCATGCCCTTCCACTCATCTTTCCTCCCGTGCTCACCCTCAAACACATGCCCCACCGCCTTGCCAATCAGGGAATCTGCGAGGCGCGAATCAATGCGAGGAGTTGGCACTCTCTCAGGAAGGATCTCGAGCGCTAAAACTCTCTTATCTCGGTGCAGTTCCAGTCCATACACACTGTCTTTGCCATCATATTTGATGATGTAGAGAGTGGGCTTCACGGAAACCTGCTCGAGCACCGTGCCCTTCCACTGCTCCACCGGCTCGTTGCCTTCCTTCCAGCCGTGCTGGATGCGGCAGCCGACGATGTTCCTACGGGTGAGGAAAGTGGGCTTGCGCCGCTGCTTCCTGTGGGTGTGCCGCTTCTTCATCAGGTATGCGGACACACCATCGACACCCATCGGAGGCACAGTTGGGGGCGACATGGATGGGCTTGACGGAGGCTCTGGCAAAGCTGCCACTTGCCCTGTTCAGCCGAGAAAAAGTCAACGCTCCCCAATGAGATCTGTTTCGCGAAGTGTGAGTGTCCCTTCGCCAAGCACGGGGATCTCGGCGAGGCTCGGTGGGGACGCTCGAGCTCTCCCGCTGGGCGCCGGGACGGCGCGGGCCTCTCGCCGAGCTCTCTCCCGCCCAGGAGGGGTGTCTGCGGCAGTGGCGGTTGCCGCAGGAGATGGCGCGCTAGCGAGTGCTGCCCGCGCCTCGCTCCCGCCCAGACTCCCGAGCCCAAGTCCCGAAAATGACCACTTAGCTGTTAGCGACGGTGCTGCGGCTGCGAGACGGCGACGCAGAAGGAGCCCACTGGAGAGGCAGGCGAGGGATGGCCGCAGCGGCAGGGCGCGGGCGGCCGCGGTGTCCGACGAGTGGCGCGGCCTCGGCTTCGCAGCGCGGCACAGCTCGGCCTAGCTCTGGCGCCAGGGTTTTGCCGCCTGGGGAAGCGGACCCTCGCAGCCCGCCCGCGCCTCGGCCCCGCCCCCGCCTCCCCCTTCCGCTCCGCCCGCAGCGGGGGCAGCAGCGGGGCGGGTCAGTGCGCGCACCCGCGCTCCGGCCGCAGCGTGGCCGGCGCTCACTCCTTCCTTTCCTCACGCGCCCCCGGCCGCTTCCCTCCCACCGGAGCCAGACTGGCCGGCTCCCCTCCTCCCTCTCTCTGGCCGCCTGTCGCCCGCCAGCCTCCTCCACAGCAGCTCCATCTGCTTTCTATCTTCCAGGAATTCCTCACAAAGCCTTTATTTAAAAAAAAATATATTCCACACACACGCACACGCACACACACACACACACACGCGGAGTTTGTACATACAAATTATTTTCTTTCAGTTAAAGGGATATGCGACTGGAGAAGCAAAAGCCTGTGTACAGTCCACCATCTTGAGCCAAAGTCTCCTTTATATTTTCTTTCTGATCATTCGGTAATGCTTTTTTAATAGACTTTTTTTTTTTTTTCCTGCATGTAAAGGAAATGTACTGACACTGTGGAGCTTTGCTACAATTCAGTAAAATAAAAGACAGAACGATCCCCAATATCCTTAATCTTACCATCTAGACACACGCAAAATGTTGTTACAATTTCTCTTGCATTAATAAATCGATGTTTATATTTCACAACATTGGGGACAGATTTTATAACTTTATCGCTTGTTTTTTTTTTTTTAATTATATCAGCATTTTCACAGGTTATTAAATACTCTGGAAATGTGATAATGTTTCTTTGTATGGATGGTTCATTAATAGTCTATGAGAGAATAGATAATTAAACTAGTTTACATTCACATATGGATTTATAGAGTTAGTATAAACCATAGTTTCAAAGAATAGTTAATGAGATGGAGGTCTTCATATGGGATAAGAAAGATATGTGACAAAGTAGGATGTTGAAACAAAATTGTAGCCCCATTTTGTAGTGTTAAAAAAGAAAGAATTTTGTCATACATATTTGTTGTTTTTCTGATTATAAATATAATGTATTCTCATATGGAAAATCTGAAAGATAGCAAAGTGTCCATAATCTCCCTACTTCAAGTCACAGGTCTGTTATGAGGATCAAATCAGAATGGCTGTAAAACTTTCAGTCCTATATCCCACTTTATAAGATGGCAATAAAAACCAGGGAAGTCTGGGCACCTCATTCTCATTCCTCCACCCTGCACTGGTGAGAAGACAAGACAGTATGTCATCATGGGTAAAGGGCCATAAATTCATGGAGAAGTGTAGCAAAGCAAGAGAGAGAACTGCAAGGCAGCAATACTGGCTGTCTGCATTGCACTACCTTTCAAGACAGGGAGAGAAAAACTTAGTCTTCATACCATTTGATAGCTGATTGGGCAGAATATGTGTTGATTCCCCAATTCCCCATGTTTCCCAGTCCAAGGAGTTTAGAGATGAGAGAACTCTTCAACATGATAATGCAAGAAATTAACTTCAAGAAAACTACATACAGTAAACGTATTTCCAAACTCCTCAGAATGGCATAGTGGTGTGTACATACTCACACACATATATATGACCTACACACTGAAAGTCAGAAGATATGTGTAAATGTCACATCATTATGTTTCACAAATAATGTCCCCCAGATAATCCTCCAGACCAAGATGTGCCAAGCTCTTAAGAACAGTTGACAGGTGAGAGACCACCCACAGGGAACACAAACACAGGGAAAACAATTTACTCAGGCTCTTTGGTTGTATACTTTAATAGAATTCTTGCTCACAACCCCACAAAGCAGCCTGAGGAGACAAAAGAATTTTTAATATTCTTTCTTTTCTAAAATGATTATTTTGATGTTTAGATCATTCCCTAACATTATGGATTCAGTGGGCCTTACCACACTATGATATAATGTTTACTTTGTATGTCTGCCCACGAGACTATAAACTCATTTGAGAAAGGCCTTTTATCTTGCAACTCAAGTGCCTTACACAGAATAGGTACTCAATAAATATTTGTTAAATGAATAAATAAGTGGTTTCAGCTGCCTTGCTCCAACCCAAAGAAATCCTCCCAAATGAAACAAGTAGTCTTACACAAGCCTCTGAAGATTGGAGTCCTGGTGACTTAAAATCTTCCACAGCAGCTTTCTTTATTCTTTCAAAACATCCAAATCACTGACCCTGTGAATATGTGTCCGTAACTCTGAAAATGATTAAGAGAACACCTTCAACCTGCAATATTATGTACAATAATATTTATCTCAAAGGGTAGCTGTGAAGATTAAATGAGATAAATACAAGTGAATTTCTCAGCACATGAACTGGCTCACCGTAGGTTCTTGCAATATCCTAACCAAGCCCTTTTGTCTTATCAGGTCTGTCTACAAACCACAAAGCTCATGCCCCACCTCTAAACTTATGCTCTATTTTACATTCAAGCCCTCTTGGTCAGGACCTGAATGTGAATCAAAGAGGTACTGTTGGCAGGATTTTTCCCTAATAGCCAGTTTCAGAGCACTCTTTCAAATGCTGCAAGTTTCAGGAAGCCCAAATTTTGGATAAATAAAAAATGATTTAAAATAAGTTTGGGAGACACAGTGTTAATTTATAACTGGAGGGGTGGTGGAAATAGACGTAAATGTTGTTAATTCCATTGTACAAGGCAAGTTATAATGGATGCTAAGAAGTACAAATTAAGCACTGGGGACCCAAAGGAGGTATTGATTTGTTATGGCTGGGGAGATTGGAAAAGACAGCTTGAAAGTGTAAGAGAACAAAAGGAAGACATTCAGAAGGTGGTAGAATAGTGAGGCCTTTTCAGTCTAAGCAGAAAACGGCTGGAGAGAAAGCACAGAGTTGCATGGACATAGGATATGTGAAAAACTGGTCAGGAGTTGTGGCTGGAGCACTGAATTTGCCAGGATAAGAAATAGGGGATGTGGTTTGTGGTGGGAAATAAGCCTAGTCAACAACCTCAAATGCAGGAAATTGATCTTACATCCACTGCTCCGTGGAAGCAGATAATGTTCCAATTCCTCTGACGGTGTAGTGTTGGCAGGACCGAAAGAGAGCTGATCTTCCATGTCCCTTCTGGCAGAAGCAGGCAGTGCTTCCCTAAGCAGGAAGTGTTTTCCCGTCAGAACAGTAGTATATAGGTGGTGCTGAGCACAGAGTTGATCTTCCACCCCCTTCAGGAGAAGCAAGCAGAGTGGAGCTCTGATTCCTTTGCCAGACACATATCAGTGAAGTTTTGTGGTGATTTGTTCCTCTACAGTCACCTGGTGATAAAAGGTAGTGGTAGTGATCTCAATTCTATAGCCCTTCTTCACCCCCCTCTTTCCATAGCAACACAACATGATGAGAGTGAGCAATGTGGAGTGAGGCAGGGCTAGTCAGCACTCTGTTTCCCCACATCCTTGCTGTCAGTGAAACCTAGTGAGGGGCTGAGCTTTCATCCCCATCCACCATCAATGAGACTGAATGAGGGGAACAAGATGGAACTACATGGTATTCATCTTTCCCTACACCCTTTTTGTCAGTTGGGCCCCCTTAGCAGATAAGCCGCCACTCCCACTTGGAGGCAATGAGATTGAATGAGTCAGTATTCCACTTGCACCATGAAGAAATTTGCAGATCTGAGAAGAGTGCTAATCTTCCTATTCTTTTTTTTTTTTTTAAATCTTCACCGGAGGATATGTTTCTATTTATCTTCAGATAGAGTAGGAGGAAGACAGAGAGAAACTGATGTGAGTGAGACACATCAACTGGTTGCCTCCCGCATGTCCCTGACCAGGGCCGGGAGGAACCACAACCGAGGTATGTGGCCTTGACCAGATTCGAACCTGCAACTCTTTGGTCTGTGGGCTGATGCTCTACCACTGAGCCAAACCAGCCAGGGCAAGAGTGCTAAACTTTAATCCACCCCACCCATGTGCAATGCGGGAGTGTGAGTGAGTTCTCCACTTTTGAAAAGGTGGTCTCTAGAGATCCCACAAGAAGCCTAACGTGTACACATATCCGATCCTCCAGCTACAGAACAACAAGCGGGATGTCTGATAAAAGCAGATTAAATAGAATGCAGTCTCTGAATGTAATATAAAAAACGAAACAATGGTGCAATATGAATCAAAAGTCATACAAAGAACAAGGGAAATCGACAACTTGAATTAGACAAGACACTTACCAAATGGAAATTTTAGAATTGAAAAATAAAATAATTAAAGTAAAAGTCTCCTGGGATAGAATCAATATAAGACTAGAGATGGCAGAAAAATTAGCTCATTTGAGGTCAGAAAAATAAAATTTACCCCATGTAAACAACAGAGAGAAACAGACTGACAAAAAAGAACAGTCTCAGGAATCTGTGAGACAACAAAAAAAGCTAACATTTACAATTGCTTTAAAGGAAGTGAAATTTGCCCGGCTGGTGTGGCTCAGTGGTTGAACATCGACCCATGCACCAAGAGGTCACTGGTTCCACTCCTGGTCAGGGCACATGC